TAGCTTGACCGCCCTTCATTTTCTTTCCAACCGCTACCTGCTTCGGCAAGCAACGCTCGCCGTTGAAACCTATCTGGTAACATGCGTAACACATGTCCCAACCAGCGTAATCAACTACCTGCTCCAGTGGACGACTGCAATTACCTGAAACTCTACACCTGACCTAAGCATCGCTCGTCCGGTTCCCCCACCAGACTCGTGCAATGCTACGTAGACAGTGGTGTTCGAATACAGACAATCTATTATTATCCTGGCGAAGTCTCTGCGCCGTAATGCAGAACTGGCCGAACTGCTGCAGCATATACTCGACTCTTCACAGAGAACCGGATGTCACCACGGCGCCACAGAGTTTTGCTGTAATGTTCATCAGTCCTGGACTCAGATACAAGCTAGGACTAGGAAAGTAACTGCAAAATTGAAAGCGAAATTTACAATGGTAACCGTAAGAATTTAGATTGTTCGGTTGAAGCTTCAAATCCACTCAACTACTAATCGCTCCGTTGACTCCTAACCCCATCGTTGTTGACCTTGCCTAACGGCTCGCCAATCTTGTACGTGTATATCCGGATTGTTTCTATCACGTTTCATCCAAGTCACTCACTCACTTATGCCACTACACTTTTGACCTTTATCGCGTGAGAGTGGAAAACCAGTGAGTCCACAGTCCATTGCTGGCTGTCTGCTACCGTAAAACTCATCAGGACCGGTTTGCGTGAACCATTGACAGTCACCCGCTACGCCCCGTGCCTGATCGCTTATTTGCACCCGTTATACTATTGCTCTTCCATCGTGTGCTCATCGCATTTCTCCGTCTAATAGCTGCAAGCGGGACTTCTCCCTAAACTTTGCCAGACTGACTGTGCTCTCCCAATATGAGCTTTTTCACAATTCATTTCTGATTCCACGATTGATTGTCTCATTAGCACAAGAAGATATCCCAGCTCGGAGTTCTCCCGCCTTGGATTGGGGGTTCGCCATCTATTAGACACCCTATCACTCGTCGTCAATACGGTAGAGTAAAGCATGAAAAAAGAATTAACATTTTAGACTGCCAAGCGATTTTCACTGACAAGGACAAAGAAACCCAATGGGTCACAAGGGAATTAGCTTGCCACAGATATACGGGAGGATCTTTTAGATGAAACTCATCTTGCCCTGTCTGTCTGGTATTGGGTATTTCCTCGCAGCCGATTGATCCGCGTACAAGCGATAAACGTGTAGAAGTAAAGCAATTATAGCCACTCTTGGGTCAATACGGCGGCGTATTTGAAACAAAACATTAAATGTGAACACTGAAGGCGCTTGAGCGTCTATATGTTGGTATTATTGTATGCTCATGATAAGAAGGCATTACATGTAGGGTGCGAGGACTTGCAAATAGTTGAGTTTTCACGAATAGGGCTGTTCTAAGTCTTTGAACGTAGTCGTAGATCCACGTGGGTATTTTGGAAAGAAACAGGATGACCAACGCTTGCATGCTGTGGCGCAAAAACGTTATCCGTTGATTGGACTTCGGGGACTGGCCGGATCTCTCACCAGGTTCCGCCATCTTTGCCGTGATAACTAAAGCTGTATATGTGTGTACTTTTCATCCCCTTTCTTCATTGTGATCTATTTCTAATCCAATTCCCGTTCCAACGGGCAGCTCTCCAAACATAATGACCACCTTTCATATCGTCCTGTGAACCGTGTATTTTACCGGCCTAGAACACGACTTTGCGGTTGTTCAAGAGTTCCCCAACCGGCGAGGCAACTCATTTTAGGCATCTGAAAACCTTTTAGTCCATAATAGTGTTTATTTCATTTATTATGCGACAAATGTTTGGGAAAGGGGAATCGCCCAAATAACATGACTGCAGAATTCGGTGAAAAACAACAGAAATAAATGGTTATGCAGATTGAAATGTGGGAGAGAAAGTTTGGGCTCGCACAATTTCTCCAAAGAGGATACGAACACTGACCCAGGAGAAATAACGTTCAAAGGCATATAGCGATCCCGAAAAGTATTCAGTCCTTTTTATAAATGTGAAACAATAAGTCAATGCAGAAAATGGAGACATGGATTGTCCAGCTCTCCGAAATCGAACAATCACCGGATCAAAGCAGATCTAATCCTGGCGAGAAAGGTCAAATTGTTGCCGTCCTACTCCACAGGAAATGGGTCCGGAAGTTGGCCACCCTCAACATAAACAGCTTTCAGTTGCGTGTAGGCCAGAAGTGTGTCTATGCCGTTCTCGCGACCGAACCCAGACTGTTTATAGCCTCCAAACGGGATGCCAGGTGGGTAGTAATTGAAACTGTTCACATAGACCGAACCGCACTGCAATTGCGCAGCAATCCGATGAGCTGTGGCCAGATTTTGTGTGAATACACCACCGGCCAGGCCCAATTCACTGCATTGAATCCGTGAAGACAAGAAACCAATACAGCAAAAGGATATGAGCACATCAAGAAGGAAAGAGAATGAAAGGTATTTAAAAAGAAAGAATTCTGAGTTGAGAATTCGCATTTTCGTTAACTATTACGAAGCAATGGTTCTCATCACGAAAAAAAACCAAAACTTTCGATAAATATGTAGCACGTGGAAAATGAGACCCTCATCCACCGAAAAGATGTACTATACAGAACAGAAACACAAGATATGCGCGAGTGCGCTTCGGGAAACTTCAACTTTCGGGACAGACAAATTCATTGGGCAAAACTTACTCAGAGATCTACGCAGAACAATTCTGCATTCCAAACATTCATACTGCGAGGCACCAACAGCATCACATGTCTCCTAATGGAATGACTAGTCATACATAACCCTGGAGGCTGGTGCTGTGATGCCTGCATTAAGGTGGCAAAAGATGAGTTGTGCTATATCTTTTATAGGTAAAATAAAAAACTGTCTGGTCAGCTGCCTCCGGCCAAGTGGACTGCGGAATTCATTCAACAAAGTACCGCAACAGGTCGAGTGAATGGTTCCCTATCAAGACCGATTGAGACTGTCCGTGGCAGGCAGCGGATGGAAAAGATGAAAAACGATAAAAGTAAGACCTGACGTGAGGGTGTGAAAAGACTAACCAGGACAATGGGTCACATAGGTACGGTTAAGCTCCCTGGATGGAACCCCAAGATCATTGTAACCGGCGATTAGAGATACTGTTATGACTGACTGACACAAACAGTAGCACTCGTGCGCCTGCTAATTATTTTGACAGCTTCTATAACTCTGCTGGCAATGTTTCACTTTACCTCCACTCTTTTAGCTAAATGGACTGTCAAAAGACAACAAACAAAACTGGCGCATGAAAATGCATGGATAATGGTCGTCAAAACTGAAACTGAGGGTGTCCGTCGGGTTCCACAAGGATCTGTTATGCGTCCAGATCTTTTTGTAGCGCTCATAAACGATCTACCAGGTATCATTGAGGCATAAGCACTACCATCCACTGACGACGCCAAGACATACAGAACAGTAGAAGGTTCTAAAGATTATGAAACAGTACAGGAAATACTCGGGGCAACTTACCGATGGTCCATTACTAATGACATCAAATTATAAGTTGGGAGATATAGGGTTGCGTCACAAGGGTGGCTTTCCATATTTTTTATTACAGGAAAGTGAATACAGTAAACGGGGTAAACTCCATGATCCAAGGATATACTGTACGTGGGAAGGTAAAGGGGAACATTCAAGCTAGAACCAGCTTGTTGATTCTGCGTTTGAAGACAACGATGTTGTAAGTTGAAGGGAAAACCGAAAAGGAGTGTTCCACAGTTATGCTGTTCTTGGGGTAAAAGATGATTGAAAGTTAGAAATGCGACACCTGGGGATAGTTACTTGAAACGTAAACCACTTTGCACTCATGATGTTTCCGAACCTAGCTACGAAATGGCTGTGAAAAACTCTTCCAGCTCGAACAATGCACCAGCATCCGCATCCCGAGCTACAATCATTCCATATTAATTCCAACAGGCTGAATTGCTCCAACGTAATTTGGGCCGATCAAATCAGACTTATTCTCTCTGGCTTTCACACAACCAAGTGCGGAGAGTGAAAGCGCGGTGTGCTGGTGCAAAATCACCAGTGAATACGTAACAGTTCACTTGTTGTTTGTTAGATGTAAATGTGACCTGCAGATCAACGCGTTCATGCTAGTTGGATACAGTTCCTTTATAGCCGTTTTTATGCAGTAAATCTCGAGTGTCGCACTCAAGAGTGGCTGTTCGCCTATGGTTTATCGCGTCACACCGAGGTGTTTAGGCCCCAGTTACCTTTAGCCTAGTTTATCTCTCCCGTAACAATAAGCCGGAGTGTGATAGCTTATGCA